TACCAAGTAATATAGTTATTTCAACTTTTATTTTATCTAGAAGAATCAAATCTCAATTCAATATTTGTATTCTAAAATAATATAAATGTGTAATAATTTAAATGAAATGAAAACAATTTATATGAGAATTATCAATGCGAGAAGGCTTAGGGATTGATTTCACATCACTATCAGTAATGTTTTTCAACTTCTATAGTCACTTCTATTGATTTTCCTGAATTCATAGGCAAGAATCATAGGTTAAATTCTATTCCTTCTCTCGAGTTCTAAATAGAACTTATTTCTACGTTTTAATTCCCATATCTCTATTTCGAATTAACACTATAAAAATTATATGTGCAAGATTCTTAAATGAAATAAGTATCAAGGGAATTATACCTTATCTCAAAACCTATAATTTCCTAGGTAATGTTATTCTTAGATCACGCCTAAATTTCCCTCTCTCGAGTATTGAAATTTAGGGGCATCGAATCATTCAATTATTGATCAGGTAATTGAAAGCAATGCGCAAGAATTAACACAAATGAATTAATGAAAAAATCAAATGAATTAACTATAAAAGAATTCAAACATGTCTCAAGTTCAGTTACATCAAACCCTAGATATTGAAATTAGTACATGACTACTAAAAACGACATAATAAATTCTAAATTAAAGAACATGGAGAAGAAAAGAATAAGAAAAACTGTTTTGCCGCTTGAATTCTTCTCCAATTCCTTGTCGTTTGTGCACTTGATGATTCCTTATTTTTCTTGTCTTCTCAACCGTTTTCTCCCCCCTTTTTTTGGTCTCTTATGATGTATTTATAGTCTTTTAGGGTATCAAGACGGACTGAAGTTGGACCGGGCCGAAAAAATTATAAAAAAACAACTTTTTCCTACTTCGCAGCGCTGCATCCCGCATCTTCTATCACTTCTTCAAAGCTGGGCATTGCAACGCCCAGAAGCTAGCGTCGCGACGCCCAGCTCTTTGTTAAAAATGTTTTGTTTCTTGGGCGCTGTGGCGCCCAAGTCTCTGCGTTTATTTATTTGCCTTCGTCTTCGCCTCTTTTTTACTTCATTTTTTTTTCTTGTTTCACCTCCTCTTCAAATCCACTTTTATAATCACACGTGTCTCCATCTCAAGTTTCAAAATATGTCATTTTCTCCAATATATCTAAACTACAAAATAACATGAAAAAACACATCAAAAAGCTCGTAAGTGCTCAAGAACAAGCCGAAAATTATGTTTTAAAAGTATTAATTTAATGAGTGATTTACACTCATAACTCTTTATGAGTGTGTTTGAGTCACATTATTTTAAAAGAATGTATTTTGGAATAGTAGATTGATGAAGAATGTGTGGTTGAAAAAGAAGAAAAAATTATTGATGTGATATAAAATATTATTTTATTGAAAAATGTGTGGTTGGAAATGAATATAAGAATGTGAATGAAAAATTTTAATGTGGCTCAAATAGGAGCTATATACGAATAGCATTATTCTCCCCTACCCCTTACCCCTATCCCTACTCCTAACCCCCTACGTCCTCCCAGCAAACATAAAATCCAACTTCTTCCTAACATCCTCATTTCTAATCAGAGAAACCTCAGATCAGACATATCTTTTAGCATTGAATCATAGGCAGACACCATCATAAGATGATAGAGAAACGTGAAGAAAATTTGCAGAGAGAGAATAATCAGCTACAACCAATTGCAGCAGCCTTACACCCTTCAGATTCTTCATCTCCTTCTCATGAATTCTCCTTCATTTCTCTTCATCCTTCAGAACCTGCAAGAATCCAGGAAAAAAATAAAAACCCTTCTTCAACAAGGACAAAACTTGTACATTTAGTACTCTTTTTGTGTGGGGATGCTTTCTTTAGGTTATATGCATACTATGTACATTGCATCTAGGAACACAAAACTTGGGGTTTTGTATACATTGTTATTTCCAAAATCAGTATCTTATAGCTGTAGATATGATTCATATGAATCTGTCCCATTATTCTTAGTTCTTAAATTAGCCACCACAAGGTCTTCTAGATAGATAGGTTGCGCGAAAATAGCAACGAATTATACAATACAAATACGTAAATCAGTAAAACAACGAATGTTGTAGACTCGTTTTTTATATATATATATACATATAAAAAGTGTAATTTTATAAATATAATCATTCAATAATTTTTTAATGCCTAGTATTAATGTTATTTGTCGTCAAAGTCCATATGGAACTCTCAAGTGTTTTCGAAAAATTTCCATCTTCAAAACCGGTCGAAATACTCCCTTCCCCAAGCCACCGTTTGATTTAACTAAAAAAGTTGGATAAAAATTCAAGTCAAAATTAATTATTAATTTTAATCACATATTTCATACAATTTTTATCACCTTTTAATAACACATTTCATTAACTTTTATCAAAATCTACAATTTTTTAGCTAAACCAATAGGGGCTGAGTTTCATACATGGTTGTGCTACATGTACATCACCATACATATTGATTTACAAACATATGATATAGTGAGATATGATTGGATAAAAATCTCTTAAAAAAAAAAATTTCTCCACTTAATTTCTTTTTAACAAATCATCAGTAAAATTTTTTGTAACTCTTTGTCACACGTTTTATGCAACGTGAATTATACCGTAAGTGTACGGTGTCAAGTTTTGTAATATAGTAACAAAGTTAAGATTGTCGAACCCACAGAGATTGTAATTTCATTCATACCAAGTACTTTAATTATTTCAGCTTTTATTTTATCTAGAAGAATCAAATCTCAATTCAATATTTTTATTCTAAAATAATATGAATGTGTAATAATTTAAATGAAATGAAAACAATTTATAGGAAAATTATCAATGTGAGAAGGCCTATGGATTGATTTCACCTCACTATCAATAATGTTTTTCAATTTCTATAGTTACTTCTATTGATTTTTCTAAATTCGTAGGCAAGAATCATAGGATAAATTATATTCCTTCTCTCGAGTGCTAAATAGAACTTATTTCTATGTTTTCATTCCAATATCTCTATTTCGAATTAACACTATAAAAATTATATGTGCAAGATTCTTAAATGAAATAAGTATCAAAGGAATTATACCTTATCTTAAAACCTATAATTTCCTAGGTAATGTTATTCTTAGATCACGCCTAAATTTCTCTTTGTCGAGTATCGAAATTTAGGGCATCGAATCATTCAATTATTGATCAGGTAAATGAAAACAATGCGCAAGAATTAACACAAATGAATTAATGAAAAATCAAATGAATTAACTATAAAAGAATTCAAACATGTCCCAAGTTCAGTTACATCAAACCCTAGATATTGAAATTAGTTCATGACTACTAAAAACGACATAATAAATTCTAAATTAAAGAATACGGAGAAGAAAAGAATAAGAAAAACTGTTTTGCCGCTTGCATTCTTCTCCAATTCCTTGTCGTTTGTGCACTTGATGATTCCTCATTTTTCTTGTCTTCTCAACCATTTTTCACCCCCTCTTTTTTGGTCTCTTATGATGTATTTATAGTCTTTTAGGGTATCAAGACGGGTTGAAGTTGGACCGGGTCGAAAAAATTATAAAAAAACAACTTTTTCTACTTCGCAGCGTCGCGTCCATCTTCTATCACTTCTTCAAAGCTGGGCGCTGCAACGCCCAGGAGCTAGCGTCGCGACGCCCAGCTCTTTGTTAAAAATGTTTTGTTTCTTGGGCGCTGTGGAGCCCAAGTCTCTGCCTTTATTTATTTGCCTCCGTCTTCGCCTCTTTTTTACTTCATTTTTTTTTCTTGTTTCATCTCCTCTTCAAGTCCACTTTTATAATCACACGTGTCTCCATCTCAAGTTTCAAAATACGTCATTTTCTCCAATATATTTAAACTACAAAATAACATGAAAAAACACATCAAAAAGCTCATAAGTGCTCAAGAACAAGCCGAAAATTATGTTTTAAAAGTATTAATTTAATGAGTGATTTAAACTCATAACTCTTTATGGGTGTGTTTGAGTCACATTATTTTAAAAGAATGTATTTTGGAATAGTAGATTGATGAAGAATGTGTGGTTGAAAAAGAAAAAAAAGTTATTGATGTGATGTAAAATATTATTTTATTGAAAAATGTGTGATTGAAAATAAATAGAAGAATGTGAATGAAAAATTTTAGAATAATGCTAAGTGTACACAATTTTTTACACCCACCTCACATGGAGGGGGGCCCACACATAATAAAATAATCGTGGACCCCCCTCCATGTGAGAGAGGTGTAAAAGATTGTGTAAAAGTGTGTGTGCATGTAGCATTATCCAAAATTTTAATGTGTGGCTCAAACATGAGCTATATAGGAATAGCATTATTCTCCCCTACCCCTTACCCCTATCCCTACTCCTAACCCCCTACGTCCTCCCAGCACACATAAAATCCAACTTCTTCCTAACATCCTCATTTCTAATCAGGGAAACCTCAGATCAGACATATCTTTTAGCATTGAATCATAGGCAGACACCATCATAAGATGATAGAGAAACATGAAGAAAATTTGCAGAGAGAGAATAATCAGCTACAACCAATTGCAGCAGCCTTACCCCCTTCAGATTCTTCATCTCCTTCTCATGATTTCTCCTTCATTTCTCTTCATCCTTCAGAACCTGCAAGAATCCCGGAAAAAAATAAAAACCCTTCTTCATTTGCCATAGATTTATCTCCAGCGGATGATATATTTTTCCATGGCCATTTGCTTCCTCTCCACCTCCTCTCCCACCTACCAGTTTCGCCTCGATCTTCGACCAACACTTTGGACAATTTTACCCTACCTATAAAAGAATTAGAATCCATTCAAACAATCTACAGTACTGATAGCAATATTGATCACAAGGTTGATTCAAAAGGAAGATCAAAATCCAAGTCTTTTTCTTTATTTAGTCTATCGAAATGGCGAAAAGAAGAAAAGGACGACAGAGAAAGGCAGAAAAAGAAGTTAAAATTCGATGTAAGTCAGGTTTTGAAGAGATACGCGAGAATGTTTCGACCCCTTCTGTCCTTGAAAAGAGGGAACAAGTTTCCCAGGCAATCCTATTCATTTTCAGGTAATTTACGCGTTAGAGGGAAGCCAGAGTTGAGAGGAAGAAGAGGGGAGTTTTCAGCACCAGCTTCAATAAAAACATCTCCAACAAACAGCGGTCGATTAGTAGCAAATGGAAATCTTACTCCTACTACAGTAAGTGACAGTACTATGGAAGAGTTGCAGAGTGCAATTCAAGCTGCAATTGCTCATTGCAAGAAATCCATTGCCATGGATGAGAAAATAAGATCCCTTGAATAAGTTCTTATTTGTAATAATCTTTTACTTTTACTTCGTGAGCATGTTTGATATACTGTATCTCACATAAGTGATCAATATATGACTTTAGAATTTCATTTTCTTATCGTCCAATAATGTCTAGTCGACTCCACCAAACAATCCACATTATTGAAGAAGACAATTGACAATTTTAATAAAATCTCCATTAGATTCAATAATTTATTTCATCAATCCACTCTAGTCACGAATGATGTGAGTTCAATTGGACTCTGGCACCGCCAAAGACAGATACTCAATGAGATTATTTGAGCAAATGTCCTAATCAATATATGATTTTTTTATTGTAATTTCTTTCTTACTGCATAGCCAAGCTGACAAGCGTATACTTATGTATGGACACATGGTTTCTTGTGGGCTGCATTTTTCATAGCTTTTTCGTTTTAATTTCTTTGCCTCAAGATTTATATGCATACGATGTTGAAAATTTTGTAAATAAACAGAGTACTTTTAATTTTTTTTTTCCCTTCAACTTACTTTTAAACACGAACAATTTCACATTTCGCTACCATGAACAGCCTGTACAATTAAGTCATACCCCACCTCGCCTCATCCCAAAAAAAAAAAAAAAAAAGATCATTTGATGAACAATTATTCTTGGTGTACACCAAGTTCGACAGTTTGTCATGTGACAAACCGTCATTTGCCAATTTTAAGAAAAATGTACTTTTTCCGTCCACAATTTTCTTAAAAATAAAGATAATATCAAGTTTGATGTAAAAGAAATAGTGTACAAATTGCAAAATCCATTGACGAATAACGAAACATTCCAAGTGAGACCACACTCGTGAACTTTATAAAGAAACTTGGGACCATCTCGAGACCCATCTACAAAAGTGATGGAACACCATGTAGAGCATGTGTTAAGAGTGTTTCTTTCAATGTCCACATGCACAATTATTCTAAAAAACCTGATCTTCTTATTTTACGTGTGGACTGAGTGTGCAATAGACCTTTTTAAGCCTCTCATTGTCTTCCATTGAATCAAAACTCTTCCATTTTCAAACTCATTTTCAATCATATATTTACAAAATAATGTAAATTCAAAATTTTTTATTCACAAACTCATTTTCAATAACACATTTACAAAATAAATTATTTTACACGTAAACTAAAATTTTTTTAATCATACGTTCTCCAAAAAATTACTATTTCAAAACTCAATTTCCGAAAAAAAAAAAAAGAAGAAAAGAAAAAAAAAAACTCTTTTTAACGGATGACAAATAGAGGCTACGGCTTTGGACCAATAATTCAGTGCTCGATTAACAAAATTAGATTTAGACTAAGAACCTTATTTTTCTAACATAAAATGAGCTACACCCAAGCAAAGTCCCTGAGCGCACACGATTTAGAGAAAACTCTTATCATTCAATGGTTAAACACGTGGTTTAGTTATACATCGAGGAGTTACATTTTTATCCTGGATTATTGCACTTTGGCTTATTTTTGTTACTTTTTTTCCTTTTTCAGGATTATGCATCTAGAGTTAGCGTATGAAGGACACATTCTGAACTATTTGAATGAGATCCTCTATGGTCGACTGAATCTAGGATTATTGAATAAATTTGAGCCTCTCAAATCTTGTCAAATCTCGATACTCTTTTTAAATCAATGGGTTTCGATGCTTATAAACTTGTCTTGCAAATAAAAAGAAAATTAGAAAGTTGTCTATGTTGACTTTAAATTTTGTACATTCAACGTGGTCAACAGATCTTAAGGCTTCCCGCATCCACATAATCCTGATTCCTACACACTTGGACAAATCAATAGCCACATATGGCTTCCCCTGGTGGTGGTGGAGTTAGCCGTGCGCACTCCAATGATCAAATTAATTGTAGTAGTCAATATATGAGTTTGAGGGGTGCTTACTTTAGATGCGTACCTCCAATGTGAAAAGGGGGTCGACCTTGGGGAGATGTTGTTGTAATAATAGTAAGGATAGTAAAGTTGTAGTTTGAGAATTTAAACTCGCATTATCTTTGGAAGGCACATTGTGTGAGCTTTTATAATAGAATATACTGGATATTAACCATCACATGAAAGCATATGTGGCCTTAGCTGTCCTGTCAATGGCATCAATAAATCATAAACATTTAATGCTAATACCATTTTGTTGCCCATAATTCTAACAAAAAATGTTTAGACTTGATCTAATTGGTCGGATAGGGCGATACTAGTAGTGAATTCTCACATCAATCACTTATTAAGAATGCATGAAAGATCTCCCGCAAGGCCCCCTTGTAGCCTCTCCCACGCACGAGGGTTTGATTCTATATATATGGCCGACTCAATCAAATGGGTTTGGCTTCTTTACGGAGATTCGGTCAAACTGCCTCTTAGGTAGAGTGACATGGAGTATGGGCACACGTTCGCCGGCCATGTAGGACTCTTGAAAGCCTCGTCGGATGAGGCGAAGTAGTCCTAGTTTGTTCTTTTATTTATTGTTTCACCAATGTTATTGCATCAATGAAACAACTAACAAATCCTTTCTAGCCAATGTTTGGTACCAATTAAAATATAGATTTTAATCTAAATCAAAGTCTACAATTCATTTCAACCACATATTTTATGAGTCCCACAATTTTTCAACCACACATTTTATTAATTTCTATTAAAATCTACTAAAAATCTAATTTTAATTTCACCAAACACGGGCCTAATTTAAAGTTCTACTATCAAACACTAGGCAAAAGGTTAAGGCTTTTAAAGTTGGAATTGATGCATATGGTACTTGGTCATACAACATTTTAGTTTCCAAGAACATGGAATCTTTAGTGGATTGTAATTCTTATTAACTATTTTTAACTACTCAAAAGGATAATTTCTTAGTCTCTTTCTATGATAAATCATGAAAACTTCATAGAAACTTGAAATCATAAAAATAAATTAGGTTTGATTAGACCAAACTTCGAAATAATTATTCCCAATTTACATTTAGAACTTAGTTTCTTTGTATGGGGTTTTGATAGACAATTTTGAAAAGTGAGTTATTTAGTTTTTGGAAGTAAAAAAGAAAGCTTCCATTGTTTCTTGAAGGCAACAAAAACTAACTTTGATTAGAATTAATCAAAGTCGTCTCGTAAATGAAACTTGAAGACTCTCCAAACCATTCTGAATAAGAAAGGTGCAATTTAGAGAATCTAGCCAGAGCATGAGCGACACTGGTTGCTTGCGCTGGATGGAAAAAACATTCTGACAAAGAGATATAATACAACAATAAACACAATAGATAAAATAAGAGTGCCCTCTTGGGAACGAGGAGATGGTTCCTTAACTACCGTCATCACATTAATGCAATCAGACTTCAAGAGCGAGATGTGGAGAGCCTATGATTTTGCAACCTACCTGTAATCCTTCCAAGTTAGCGTAACACTTAGTAAGTAAAATAAGAAATCCAGCCACAAAAGAACTTTGAAACTGCAACCAAAACTTGCCCTTTGATGCAAGAGCTTGAGTTTTCTTTGGAGCATCGAACTGAACCCATCTATATTGAGAAGTAACATCAGAACTAATGGACACATTATGAAGCAGTTAAGCCAACTAAAATCCAAATAAATGACCCGTTGAATCTAGCACCAGCTTATGCGAAGGTCAACAGCGTACGTGGACTGTTAAAGAGGAAAGTGTCCGCTCTTTCCAGCATGCCTAAGATGCATTAACAACCCATGTCCTAAAGCAAAGTCCAATGAATACAAATGAGGAAAGGTAAGAAGGGAATCAGAATATGAGGAATAGTACATGTCGCCGAAGCTTGCTCCAAAGGTCATCAAAACGGTATTTTCCGGACTTAGTTTCACGTTACCAAACAATCAATCAAAACAACTCCAACCCACAACCAATATATTCACTTCGGTTGTTCCTCAATCTCACCCACAAAAAATAAGATAATGGTGATGATTTGTAGGCCATAAAAACCCAACAGTACAAGTATATAAAATAGAGATAAGAAGTGAATGTGGAAGTGCATAAAATTGGGAGATAAAGTGACTTTCGATTGGTTTGGTGGCGGAGGTGGCAATTGGTGGAGGGAAGAAGATGCCTCTTTTTTAGGGGTAGACATTGTGATAGGAATTGAACTTACGGAATCTGAAGCATCATTTCAGGTTCGATTGTAGAAATTACATGAAACCGAATGGTTCATTTACAAAATACCGAAAATTTAATAGGTAATTCGGTTTTGGAAATACTCGGATGGAACCCGATTAGGAATTGGCTTTAATATTTTTATTTCTTTCGATATACATGTCATTGCCCAACGAGACTAGGATATTGCACTAATAAATAAATATAATATACGCAATCATGTCCTGCTTATGTATATGATGGTTGTCATGCTTATTCGCAAATCCAAGGCATTAAACGGACCTCCTAACACCGTTAGTGTACCGTGTTAGGGCTCCAAATGCCCCAACACCGTTCATGTGGATCTAAATACGATATTCAAGTTTCAAAAGTACATAAAAAACTAGTTTTATCAAAAGTGCCAAGACTTGATAGAAATTATACACAAAAAAAGAAGTTTTGTTAGTAAAAAAATAATTTTATTTTAAAAATATAAACAAATAATTAAAAGACTTATTGACAAATACAATTACAAAAATGTAGAGATGGAGCCAACAATTTAGTTTAATAGAGGCATAACCAAGAATTTTAAATAGTCCTTCACAGGTTTCATACTTCAAAAATGTTGCACATAAATTGACCTCATTATTAATATATCAAGGAGCCATTTATATGTATGGTTTTCGAATTTGATCTCGGACATTATCGTTATAATCCATCATCAAAATTCTTAGTCCAAAATGTTAGTTGAGCAATATCAATTCCATGCTACATAATTTTTTTTTTTTACTCCGTAGGAAATATAAATAATATTCTTAAAATAAAATTTCATAATTTTTGCATATTGTGTCCAACAAAAGAAAAACTAAGAAAATATTTAAATAAACTGTACATATTAACGG